CTTTAATGCGCATCGCATCGTATCAGACAGTATCATATATCGTATCGCATTGTACTGTATTTTACCATATTTAAATCATTAAATCATATTTTATTGCATAGTGTTGTGCTGTATGTTATTGCATCACATTGTAAAGTACCATAACGTAGCGCATTGTACCGTTCTGTACCGTATTGTATCGTATTATACCATACAGCATTGCATTGTATCGTACCGTATCGTACCATACTACTTCATATCACTTTGTATTGTATTTTACTATACTTAATATGTCAAATAATAACATATTCTTTGTAGTATTGTGCTGTTTTGTATCGTATTGTACCAAACTGTACCATTCATCGTATCAAATCACATTGTATCGTATTTTACCATATTTAATGCATCATATCAAATCATATTGTACCATATAGTGTGCCATATCTCATTGTACCATATCGTATTACATGTTATTGCGTTGCATTATATTTTACTATATTTAATGCATCAAAATTATATCTTATTGTACTGGATATTACTGTGCTGTATTGTATTGCATCATATCGTACTTTATTTTACTGTGCCGAATTGTATCAAATCATATTGTATTATTTACTGTATATATATCATGTTTTATGTTGGATTTCATGGTGTCTGTATTTCTATTGCATGAATTGTTGAAGTATTGTTTCCCACTAAAGTCTGTGATTCTTCCTCAGATTTCACAGATGCCTTATTTAATCCTACAAAGGGTTCAGACAAGCCCTCAAAGACCCCTAAAGAGGTAAAATGATGTTCCTAGAGTTACTAGGAAAACCTAACKGCACTTATTAAGTTCCTGGAAGATGATCGCCTTTGTCATGTCCTGTTTTCTAACCCCTGCAGTCTTCCTCCGACTACGTTTCTCCCTATGAATTACCTCTTGTGGTCCAAACTCCGTCAGAAACAGTCAAAGACGGTGAAGCTGCCACTGAAGGTATAAACAAAAAACTTAAGACAGAAATCTAACCTTTTTTTTTGTTTAAATGACTAAACTCTCGTCTCCTTCAGAAAATGCTGCTTCTGAACCTCCACCAAGCAAAGACAATGCTGACGATTCATCCCAGCCCCCTCCTGAAACGAGCGCAGAAGAAGCTAAAGAAGAGGTTCCTCCACCGCCTGAACAACCTCTTAATACTCCTGATGCTGAACCAGCTGCAGAAAACGCCACATCTGGGGAACCCAATGCAGAGAAAGAAGAAGCAGCCCCAGAGGTGGCTCCTGAAACCAAAGACGAAGAAGATCCTGGTGCAGAACCAGAGCCTGCCGTGGAGAATCAGGAATCTTCAGAAGCTGCTGAAGCACCTGTTTCTGAAGACCCCACCCCTGAAAAAGCAGCTGTTGTGCTCTTGCCCAGTCCAGCAAGTGACCTACCTCAGTCCCAAACCTCTGGTGAAGGTAACCCTGAAGTGCATCAAATTCTGCATTCATCACATTTTCTCCTCTGTTGGTTTAAATCCTTGCAAACAGCAACAATACAGCAAAAATATTTTTGTTGATTAGATTCTTTTGTTGAAAATTAGAAGCTTTCCAAAAGCAGACTTCGATGTTTTTATTTTATTTTTTGTGCCACAGAGCCCTCCACGGTGACAACCGAAGAACTGACACAACACAAGAACTATCTGAAGGTCATCAAGCGGCAGGAGAAAGAGCTGAAAGAAGCTGAAAAGAAGTATCAGAAAAAAACAGAAGATCTCATCCAGAAGCACTCTGACAGCTTCAAGGCTATTAAGAAGAAGGCCTCGCTGAAGAAAAAAGAGTACGTGTATTCATTTTACTCCCTGCTGAAATACAGCAGGCTGTTTGACAAAACAGCTTTTGATCATGTTGGAGGAAGAACGATGTTCTGAGACCCATCTGTCCACTTGTTTATGCCCAATCATCCACCAAAGATAGGTTTTTTTTTTTACCTGAAATTCTGAGTTTTGCACCTTATTAATGACATCCCACTAAATTGTTGTTGTTTTTGGTCAGGGTTATTAACAAGATTGTTTGTTTCACATAAAATATTCTGCAGCTAATGCGTTTCGTMGCAGAACCATCCAGGAAGCAACTAAATGAGTTTTGCCTGCGGTGCTTCAGATGCACARTCCTCCACACTAAGCTGTCAGGATTTGCCATTTAACAGCGTCAGTTTATAAACACTTGCATTTAAAAATAAATTTATATATATATGCTTCACTGTGCAGGGGAGGAGACAACACTGCTGACAACAGTGTGCAAAAAGAGCGGGTGCAGGAGCAGAAGGACAAAATGCAGAAGGAGCTGCAGGCTCTGTGGTCAGAACAGAGTGAGCAGCTGAAGAAGAAGAAAGAGCAGTGTGCGACAGAGGTAAAAATAATTCAGACTAGGGTTTATTGAAGCCCAAACATTTCTTCAAGGAATGCATGGCTCATCTTATGTGAGTTCAGTTTGTTGCAATTTCACAAGGTTTCATGCTCAGAATATACCCACTAGGTTCAGGCAATATTTGCTAAAAAAAAAAAAAGGTAACGATTAATAGATGACAATTGCAGATACGTGTTTTTGACTCTTAATCAGTTAACTTTTGTTCCAAAATTCTACATACAAATCATCAGTCAAACCATCTTCATTTTATCAGGTAAAATAAGTAAGCTGTGAATTAAAACCCACCTTTTTCACAACAATTTGCCACTGGTTCACATGCACACTTAAAAGTTACATTTACAGTATATAGACGAGAAAATAAATATCTAAAACCTATCCACAGGGACTCCAATGAATTATTTATTGATTTGAAATTGATATCAAAGCATTTGAAGCAATATCAAATTGAATCAAAATCCAAAAAAAAACTGTGAGGTTGTTAACAATATCCAGCCCTAGTAGTAGCTGAGYCATCCTCAGCACGTGCTCTGAGCTCAAAATAATGTATCAAAATGTACATAAAGATATTTTCAAGGCTCAAAATCACTTTGAAGCTCTAGAACAGAAGGTGGTGGGTGATATACATTTCTAGAGTGTTAGGTCTTTTATCTATAGACGCTGAGCACTTATAAAGATAATTTATTTTTTAAAWGATTTTGTCTGAAGTTGTATGTTCATAGTGCTGTTTCTTTATTCTGTTTTAACAGAGACTTGCCAAACTGTTGGAAATGGCCATGGAGAGACACACCATCGAACTGAAGACCCTGGAGAGGTTAGAGCGTCCAGAAAACACATTTAAACACTACACAACACACACACACACACACACTGAAAAAAGCCAGTGCTGAGTCTGTCCAATCTGTGCCCCAAAGCTTTAGTGTGGCACTCGACTTTGTGTCATCTGAGGTGAAAAACTTGACATTTTACAAAGAGAATGYCTCAAATAATGAATGAATCACCTCAGCAAACGGGTCTTCCTGTGTCCTTGGCTGGCCTATTGTGTTTCGTGTGTGTGTGTTTGTGTGTGTGTGTGTGTTGTTTAAAGTCCCCAGTGGCCAGATGGTTATCTCAGGACAGCCAATATCCAACAGGTGTTTAAACACCAGCAGGGAAGCAGGCGATGGCAGCTCTGATAAGGTCACAACATAAACATTCAGCCCTGCAACTCCTGATTAAAGGAAAAAGGTTGTTTTGGAGGGCTGCTTTTTATTTGTACATTTTACATCCCTCCTCACTTGCTGCTGTTTTCTTTTTTTATCATTATTGTAGTGAAACTAAAGAAAAGAGGAAAGCACTCCTCAAATGTTCCRTCTCAGAGAAGTCAAAGTAAGTTCACATCTGATGAAGTATTGTTTCTTTTCATTATTAATGTCCTCACCTCAAGTAGAGTGAAAATAAAATGTGAGAAAATAAATCTGGTTTCAATAATTTCAACTAAACTTTCAATATCATGTGGTCTAATTTTGAAATGCTTTTATTCAGGCTGAAAAGGGCGATGAGCACCGAGGTTCTGGATGAGACAAGTCAGTCCGACAGTGCTGTRAGTGGAAAACACACCCTTTAATTACAACCTGATTTGAATATTTGTGCACGCAGTCGTCATTTGAAACCTTGGAAACACACAGGAAGACTCTAGGCCCAACATCAGGATCACCTGTTGTTGCGTATTTATTTGTAAAGGACTTAAGCAGTTCTTCAAATTACAGAGCCCACGAGGGGACATGGGAGAAAAAATATAAAAACGGATCCTGACTTACTTTCTCAGGATCCCGAGAACGAAAGTCGAGATCCTGAGAATGAAAGTCGAGATCCTGACATAAAATGGTCAAAACCAGAGCTAAATGCTAAAATTAGCAAAATTGTGGCTAAAAACTAATAAATGCAGAATAGTAGCTTAAAGCTAAAAGAGCAAAACCTAAATTTTTTTTATTTAATAGGAAAAGAT